ATAAAGCCATGTCTTCATTCAGTACCCCACATTTCACACATGGACTTCCTATGTCCGGTCGCAGAAGATGACCCACTCAACAACCCCCACCACCCACCCCTGAAGTTGCCCTGCACAGAACTTCATTTTCCTTATGGGGTCCCCTACCCTCCCAGCCAGAATATCGCATCCTTCTATCGGACGCCGTGGATCTTCCCACAAGGTTCCCATTTACCTCTCTCACCCTTCTCTTCCACAGAACCCTACAGCGCCCCAATAGACCCGTCCCATTCCTACAGACCCCTGTTTCGCCTCAGACTTCTCTCTAGCCCTACAGACCAGCGTATCACCCTCATTCACCCCTTCTCTCGCCCGTGGACACCATGGTCTCCCCTTCTCACCTTAGTTGACCCTCCTCTCACCCTGGGGCGCCTCACCCCACCGGCCCCCGTCTGCCTCCGTACACTGCCCGCGGAAGTGGACCCCCCCAGTCTCCTGCCTCGTCCCTCTCCAGCTCTGCCCCAGCTGGGCTCCCACCCCTCCACTTAGGGTTCGCAGGCCTCCCCGCGCTCCCATCCAGCCCCAGGGGTGCGCAGCTCCTACTCGGGGTGCTCCCGGAGGGAGGCGGCCGGATCCGAGGCCATGCCGACCAGTGCCACCAGCGCCAGCAGCGTGGAGCCATGGCCGGGACGAGGCTCCAGGCGGCAGAACTGATACCAAGGACCGCCCGGCTCGGCGCCGGGCCCGGGCTCCGTCCTGGCCCCGCCCTGACCCCGCCCACAGGCGCCCCAAATCCCGCCCCCACGCTCTGGGAAAGCACAGCGTTGCGGGTCCACCCCCGCGCCGGAAAGAATCCCGCCCCCAAAAGAGAAGCCCGCCCTTGGATCCACCCGCTTCCGCTGAAGGCCCGCCCCCACGACTTCCGGTCCCTGTGTGTCTTAATAAATTTCTCCCCAATCTTCACCCTCCCTCCAATTATCTGAAGTTTAGAGTTAAAGGAGAGCAAATCCCCATCGCTGTTTCAGTCCCGCCGGAAGGAGGTAACCAATTAGAGAGGAGTTTACTCAGCTCCGCGTCGCTGGCTGATGACGCAAAGCGCCTTTCCCTTTTGATAGGTAGCCCCCGGTTGCCTGGTTTCCTGCTAGCCAATCAGCAGTGAGTTCAAGCAAACCCGGAAGTCGGGGGGAAAAAGGGGCCCCCCTGGAGCTCAGCGGCTCCTTTCACTGACCAGGATGCTCTACAGGTAGGACCCCCAGCAAGATGCCCACATGAGAAATATCCACACCTGTAGAGAGTTTTTATGAAAATTTATTTGAGACAAAACTGATTAAAGAGGGCACATAAGGACGATTATATGAAGATGGCAGAAAGCAAGGCAGAGCTTGGGCTGCGGGATCGCTAACTAGATTGTGTGCTCTCTTGAGGGCGATGACAGCCTGGAGAGGTGTTGCATATGGTATATCAAAAACGTGTTAACCTAGATGCACGGGAACAATGGGCAGGACTGGCTTAAAAACCTACTGAAGAAGTTATAGGCCTGGGACGTGACTGCCCACCACGACCTGCCCATTTAGGAATTTACGATCAGATCGCCCTGTGAGGTTACTTTCTGTGGAACCCCTTTTTTCTTCCACACAGATTTTGTCCTGCGTGACTCACCCCTTTCCTTTACGCAGGTGAGGAAATGGAAGAAGCGATTTGCCCCAGATGCTATGGACAGAGCCAGATCTTGTCCCTGAGGTGAGGGAGGCACTGGCCTCAGTGCAGAATTTAAGAAAGCACCAAAAACCTCAGTGATCAACATAATAGTTTAATGCAGCACTTTCAAAGAGCAAAATTAATGCAAACCAAAAAAGCCCCACGATGAACAAAGTAGATTTGTAAATGACAGGATCCGTGATCATAGCTGACCCAGGAAGCCTCATGCCAGCTTCAGCTCCCTTTTCTCTCACAGACCCTCTTGTCAAATGCTTCCCTGGAGAAGCCTTTCCTGACCCATCCTCTCCCAGACTGGTTTAGGGCCCCTTCTTGTCCTCTTAACATTCTACCCAATTGTTATTATATTGCCTTATGGCTTTTAATTGAAGTGTAACAGAAAGTGCACAAATCAGAAGTGTACTGTTTGATGAATTATCACAAGATGTAATCATGTAACCACCACCCAGATCAAGAAGTAGAACATGGCCAGCACTCCAGGAGCCCCTTGTGCCCCTTCTCATCACTTCCTCTCCCTCCTAATGTTCCAATTTCTAGTAAGTCCCTGCGTTTTGTGCCTGTCCCACTAAACCAGGAATGGGTAAACTGTGGCTTGCAGAGCAAATCCTACCCAATACCTGTTTTTGTACTATACACAAACTAATGGTTTTTACACTCTTACGTGTGTATTTTTTAATGTAAAGAATATTTTGTGATGTGAAATTACACAAATTTAAAAAAATTATTGGAACACAGTCATGCTCATTTCTGTACATATGTCTATAGCTATTTCGCTCTTTGATGGCACAAAATGCTTTGAGTATTTGTGACAGAAACCACGTGGTACACAAAGCCCAAAATATTTAGTACCTGGCCCTTTCCAGAAAAACTCAACTCCTGCACTAGACTGTAAGCTCCAGAGGCTGGGGCCCTGTCTCATTCACTCTTCTCTCCCCAGAGCTTCGCACAGTGCCTGGCACATAAAGGATGTTCATAAAGAGTTTGTCTTATGATAATTAATCATATCATTTATTATCCTTTCCCATGGGAGGAAGAGAAGGAGACTTAGGATCAGATAAGACAGAAAGCCCTAGAGGGCTCCTCTCCCAGAGGCACTGTGTTTGCTGGTTAAGAGCAGGGGTTCTGGAGTCGGACACACTGGGTTCAAATCCTTCTTCTACCATTTACCATTCTCATCTGACATTGAGAAACTTAATCCCTCCAAGGTTTATCTTCACAACATGTAGCATGATGGAAAACAGTCCCACGTTCATATAAAGATTAAAATTAAATGGAATGGGGAAAGAAATGTGCCATAAGTTTTGAATAGATGGTAGCTGTCATCATTGTCATCAATATTATTGCCTCAGATATGCTTGTGTAGATTAGATCTTAGGTCACTGCAGAGCCCTAGAAGGGCCTCATTCCCTCCTGTCACCTCCCCTCCCCTCCAAGCCCCATGCATCCCAGTCCACATTCTCAGAATAGCAGAAAATCAAGTCTCAGGATGATCAAGCAGCTTGTTCCCAGGAGCCTGTGGTGCAGCCAAGTCTGGTATCAGGGCCTCCAGCGGCTGCCCAGTCCCCACTCAGGCCCAGATCGATAACAATGAGTCACTGGTTATGGATTAGGATGGTTTTAATCATTAGCCAGGACTATGCAATGGGGCCTTTTCTGACATTGCATTTTTCACGTGGAGATTTGGCAGTTTGATTAGTCATACTCCTGGACCTTAAGGCCATTTCTGAGCTACTGATGTACTTCAAAAGAGCAGCAGTAAAGTATAGCAAAGCAGTAGGCTCGGGAGGCTGCCAAGCCTGCCTCGTTCCAAGCGGGCTGCTTGGATCCAACACTGCTGATCAGTCAGCCTGTCAGCAGGAAACAGATGGCGCTCTTGACAGTGCTGATCGCAGAGAGTTTAATGAAGGAACTTTCTACAGAGGTGTGAGCAGCATTAAGGGACAGGTGAAGCACTCCTGGGCTACCAACAGCTGGAAGCCACTACCACCCAGGCCCTGAAGGGGCGAAGGAAGGGGCTGTTTCAGAGGTAGAGTTGTAGCAGGAGCTGTGGCCTTCAGCAGAGAACGGCAGGGTGGAGAGGAGTGGGGAAAGGACGGGGAGAGCCAAATGGCAGCTACCCGGCAGAGCCATCTAAGGCCACACTAGAGATGGGCTCTCGCAACAGGACCAAGCTTAGAGAATGCCTTTCTCCTGCCATCTGAGCCCTCACCCAATACCACTTGCTGACATTGAGCCTCAACTCAGCGGCAGCATGCCTTTCGCCCACCCAGGGACTTCCCTGAAAAGCAAGGCCATTATGCACTCAGAACATGCTGTTCATGTTTTCAGCCTGGGATGATTTTGTCGCCACCCCCCCCCACCCAAGGGACATTCATCAGTGTCTTTAGACTGTTCTGATTGTCACAACTTGGATTCCTGGCATATAGTGGGTAGAAGCTAGGGATGCTGCTAAACACCCTACAATGCACGGGACAGCCCCATCAACAGAGAATTATCTGGCCAAAATGTCTAGTGCCAAGGTGAGAAACTCTGTTTTAAACTGACTGCTCTGGCCTCCTTCTCTGGCCCTCCTCAGCCTCCAGCTGGGCCTTCTTTGCACCCCCTCTTCCAGCCTCCAGCCAGGGCAGCTCCCAACCCTCCCAAGGCTGCCCACTGTAGGCTGACTCTCAGTGGTATCCCCAGCCTCTCCCTCTGGCGTCACGAGTTCCCTTACATTCCCGCCTCCCTCCCAGGCTGCGGACGATGTGATGTGTTCACAGCCCAGCCCAGCCCTTGGCTTCCAGCTCTTGTATTTGCACCCACCCTCCTTCTCCGTTTCCTCTCTAAAGCCACCTGTCCTCCAGGCCCTGTGCCCATCACCCCCATCAGCCTGTTACCTTCTCAGGAATTTTTCTCTCTCACTTGGTCATTCTTCCAGATCCCCTCCTTCCAAGTATCATGGAACAAAGCAGCCTTTTTCCAGAGCTGGCCAAGATCATGCTCAAAGCTATTTATACTTTCTCCCCTACTTCCAGAACCTGGAATGTTCTTTATAAAACACACTTTGATCTCGCTGATGCTGCGGCTCTTGGGAGCTGCTGAGCCAGTGTCTTGCACAGGCTTCTCTGGCTGGGAAACTAGGAAGTTCTGCCAAAAGTGACTTCCCCTGTGATCCCTGGGGAGAGAGCTCCTTAGGAGACAGAGGCTCCAAGGGCACAGGAAGAAGCAGTGGCCAACTAAGTATGTGACTCTCCCAGTGCCAGGGAGGCCCTAGCTGAAGGCTGACCCTGCTCTCTCCATGCCCCCTCCTAGCCTGCCCCCTGCACAGGCCTCTCCTCACCCGGTCACCCTCCCTTAGTCCTACCCAGGCTCAGGCGGAGTGGGGAGGGATCCAGCAGTTTAGTCCTGAGATGAAGTTGGCCAGAATACCCAGCCACCTTTATTCCTTTCCTCCAAACACCCCTCAAAACTCAGCAAAGCAAGCGGGGCAGGTGACCCCCCAGGTCCCCCAGCACGAGCTCCCTGCCTCCCTGCCCACCCAGGGCCTCCACACTCTAGGTCCGCCACCAGTAGCCCAGCCACGCCCTCTGGGGAAGGGCCTGCGCCCTCCTGGCCCCAGGAATGGCAAGCAAAAAAGGAAGAGCCAGGGTTGGGCCTGGGAAGGGGAGCAGGGTACTGTGCCCGCCCACCCCTCATTGCAGCCCCACCAGCTCAGTGATGGGAGGGGTCTGCACCATGAACTCCTCGTAGCGACTGAGAAACAGCCGGAAGCGAGCGAGGTAGGTGTCCTGGTTGTAAGGCAGCTGCTTCTCCCGGAGGAACTGGGATACCACGGGCTTCACCTGCCAGAAGGTGGGTGGGAGGAGGGGCCACTGAGCCCAGACTGGACTGCGGCAGGCCCATCCCCATTGGGGCCCTTCTCTTCCCAGCCCCCAGTTTCTGCTTTG